CTTCTAAAAAAAGGAACTTAAAAGGTAACAGAGATTAATGAGGCACTATGTTAGAGACTTAAGTCGCAACGCTATCTGTTAGTCAGATCTCTGAAAAATTGCACCAAACAAGCAATCAAGTAAAAAAAGTCACCTTTCATACTACAGTCTACATAAAACAAGTTCTGCTGTTTCCCTAACACACTGCTTTCACGCTAAACATGGCTCTACTCCAAGTTAATGAAGCCTGGTAAAACAGAGAACTATAAGAGATACTGGGAACTCTGCAAAAGAATTTTCCTAGTTTATTTTTAGCAGTGGGCGTTAAAAATGGCTTTATATATGGTAAAGTTGCAGCTTTAATGCCTAATAGTGTAATTCCAGAAAACTATTAGCACTCAACACAGCAGTAATCACTACAAAAGGAACCATGAATGTACATGCACTACAGAAACCAACAAAACCTAAGTACTGAATTGCTGTATCAGAAGGTCCAAATGACAAAGTATTTTCAACGAGTGCTAGGCTTCAGTCCCCTGGACCACAAAAGGTTTAACATCAAAATAAAAATCAAGTATTAAAATCACCAAAAGTTCATACAGGAAAGTGGGAACTTCACCTGACCAATTTTATCATTTAAATGCAATATGAATGGTTAAAATAAGTTTATGATGTTTTAAGCAAACATCTTCTGCATGAGCATTGATGAAAAACACCACCTAAATGTAGAGGCTGTACAGCAAACAATGTGAACTGCAAGGACTTTTGAAATTCCGTTTTGTCTTCCGACAACACTGCAGACATGTAGTAAGTGCAAAATTTTGCCATCCATTTTCACGTGCTTTGTGAAAATAATTAAAAAACTGCAAGAAACCTGTAAAAAACCAATTCCTAAATCTTAAAAATTTACAATATCGCAAAATTACAAAGCACATTACAACATTATAGGTGTATAATACCTAATTTATTGGGGGTTTTTAGTTGTACGTAAACTCTGAACCGTAATGGTATAAAAAAGCCCCTACCTGCAAATATATTACTTGTAGCAATACCACTTAAAGGTCTACAATAATAGTGTATGAATTACTGATGCAGTAAAGAACAATGCATTGCTTTTTTACAATGGCATGATGACTTTGTAAACAGAAATAATATCCATAAATCTTTATTTTTCTAAATTTTTACTCCAAGCATTACTAAGTACCACCTCTGTGTTATGTATGACCTTAAGTCCTACCTTAAAAATGTGCTGTCTTTTGTAGGACACAGCACAAAGGAAGTAAAATTCACTTTCACTTACAGGACTATCTGCTTAAGTATTGAAAAATTAATCTACCTAATCTTCAGCTGGTTTCACAAGTCATGCTGAGATGGAAAGGAAAACAGACATTAACGGTTGTGACACCATAGGTAGTACAGGGAAGTAGAAACAGATCTCAAAAGGAGAGCACAGAGTAGCGCCACGGAAGTTGCAGCGTAGGGAACAGCCTTTTTCTTTTCAATTAATGTCACCTTGCTCCGATGTGCACAAAAATATCCAGCAAAACACACCTCGTATTAACCACACCAATGCTATCTGGAGGTAAACAAAGCTTCAGTGGGAGAAAAATGAAGTCAGGGCTCAGTTGGAAAACAACATAAATGCACAACATCAAAGATCTGGCACACAACACTGAAGACACAATTAAGTCCCAAGAAATGCAAAATTTAAACACTCAAGGAACTTTACACTGACAGTTCTATTAAAAAAAAACCATTTGAAAAGAAACCTGTTTCCTTTTCTGAACAGATTAAGTAAATTATTTAGGCTTTAAATATTGAAAGCAGCCTACAGAATCAACAGCCTCCACATAGAAGACATTTTTAAAGGAACAAGCATGAATTATTTTTCAAGTGTTTCCTCAAAATAAACTGACAATTAAAACCATCATTTTGCAATCCAAACATATCAAGTGAACAACACTGACCCTACAGCTAGCCAGCTGCTTGACCAGAACATCTTTTAACACACCTCCAAGAAGCAGTAAAAAGATGACCACGTACTTGTAAAAGCAAGTGCAACAACACGCCCAGCATTAAAAACTTAAAATCTAACAGCAATTGTGACAGAGATTGCACTAATGAATTTATTTCATGTGCCAGCACGTTTGAAACAGGCTGACAAAGTAATCCTGAAGTAATCACTCTGTCTTCTGAAAAATGGATCCTATTAATTATTCATAGATACCACATTTATTTCTCAATATTTCTGTTATCCTATATTCTAAAAAAAAAAAAACCACACAAAACCAAACCACACACACATCTAAGGATAAGGTTAAATTTTACTTCATCCACACCACTGGTTTCCACTTCCTCCCCTACTCAAGAAGGCAACTCCAGATCCTATCATACGTTTACTACAAGTATACAACGATCTCCTCACCACTCTTGAGTATAAACAGCACATTTACCATTACAGAGCCCTTATGTTGCACTGTTGATATTCCCAAATTTAACCAGATTGATTTTAATGGAGCTTGCTCCCAAATACCTTTTACATTGCCTCCTGCACTACTAGTCCTGGCTTCTTCCCAGGATTTCTGCCAGAAGCTATACTCTCACTCCTCAAGCACAGCATTTCAAGTCAAGCTCCCGTAAGGTTCAACTACACGTTCTCAACTGACCACTCGTACATTAGAGGAAAGCTGGTAGGTAGAACGCTATTTATCACCCTCACGCATGTTCACGCGTATGTACTTGTGGAAATCACTATCCTTAACGCCCAGGAAGTAACAGTGACACCTTTTTTATCCCCCTATGAAGTGCTTCAGTATAAGACATGCTTATTCACCGACAGCCTGCTGCTGATTTGAGCAAGTGTTTGGATGTGGGGACTTTTTCCCAAGTAGCCTACAAACCTACTCATTTTTTACTACTTTGGTTTTTTCCAGCTTTATAAATAATTCAGCCTACCACTAGAATAAGGCCTCCTGATGTTTTGGTGGGTTTTTTTTAAGTTGTATTTTGCAATATACAAGCAATCAAAGCGATTGCTACATAGAGATAATTACCTCTGCCCAATGTATATGAAAGATTAAGTACTTGCTAAAACTGCAGTCAATTCCTGCCAAATAACCACCGGTGATGAAACCTGACGAGGTTCAACACATCATAACAGGTCATCTTCTACAAACAAAGCTCAAGGTTCCATACTTCATTAAATACTCAAAGTGTTATTTTAACAACTATGACAAACATTTGGGGTTTTTTTCCCAACCCACTAAGACTGTTCTATCAACAAAAAAAGGCTCTTTTTTACCCTCCTTGTTACTCGCTAGAATAGCTTCAGTTTATCTTTGGCCAGCAGTAAACTAAATAAATATTTAATGTATTTCAATAGTAACAAATTATTTCTTACAGAATTACAAAGAGCAACTTTTCTTGCTTTATTCTTTTGCCTTAGAAAAGGCAACTTCACAAGCTAGTAAGAAATAAAGCAACACAATCAATCCACTCTTATACAAACCAGAAAGTTAATTCCCAACATTTTTCAAGAAACTTGTATCCCACATGTTTATACATAAGAGCTGAAAAGAAATTCAAGCAACAAGAAAGTTTCAAATTAAACTGAAAACCAGGTTGAGGCAATTAACGACCAAGCTTCTAGTGACGACTTGATGCCAAAAGGCTCTTCCAAACACATTGCCACAGACAGAACCCTTGAGAATGAGGTTCTGACTCCTGAGAAGGCCCAACAAGCATAAGTTTTCGGCTGCATAACATTCATAGAATCATGGAACGGTTTGGGTTGGAAGGGACCTTAAAGACCATCCAGTTCCAACCCCCCTGCCACGGGCAGGGACACATTCCACTAGACCAGGTTGCAAGTATAAAAACAAAAGGACAAATTCCTACTAATTTCACTAGGATCCCTTCCAGCTCCTATCTCTATATTCTTATAAAACATGTTTATCTCCAGCCAATGCTGTATCAGTACCATTAAAACACACTCAGCTTGACAGCTCCATTAAGCTGAAGAAACCGTTTCTCCAGATTAAATATAAACAAAATTCAGTCTCAAGGTTACAAAGGTATTGTTTTAGTCACAGACCACAAACTCAACCTTGTGTGTATTTAAGACGCTTTAGATAAGAGTAACCTTGAGCCATGGTTTCCAGGGATTTCACTAGTAACCTTGACCCGTGTTGCCATGGTATCCCTATGCCAAAAAACTTGATTACATCACCTTGAATTGCATAATAAAGCTAAATATGTAGCGTTTATTCCCCAGGAATCCAATCATTTATCTACTCCAGGATCAATGTTGTTAAAGATCCTTTTTAATTAGGAAAGGATTGTTGGCTACTGTTGAAGGAATAAAGTTTTGAGTAAAAGGACAGCAAGATAAATAAAGCATTCAGGATACTTTGGAAAATTGAGCTCATTTGAGTATGTGACATAGTACAGCTAAATGCCAGGTCAAATATCTAGGACAGGTAAAATCAGCACAACCCATCTTAGCATCAATGATTCTGAAAAGAGCTTGAGGAAGGAGGTGTATAAAAAAAGCCAGCTGAAACACACTCCTAATGCAATACTGCAGCCAACAATCCTTTTTTTGTTTTAAAAAACACATGGCATGACTATAGGGAAGCAATGTTTATATTCAGCGATGATCTTTATTGATAAAGTACTATACCCAGGGACTGTTTCCACTTTTCCATATCTGTGTCCTAAAGCTCAGAGGGATCACACAACATAACACTTAAAAAAATGTTTTACCAAAACTGATCTGTATTCAAATCCATTCATTTTATCCCACTTTAATCACCTCAGTTTTACCCTGCTCCTGACTTCACAACACTTGAGGCTCAACTTCTGAGGTGTTTTTGGTCAGCTTGTTTAAGGAGAACACAGTCTTTCCCAATATTGGGATTTATGGTCATACTTAAGAGTGTATCAGTAAAACAATCCATCCCATTTGTAACATAATCCACCCCACTACAGCTGAACATATAATGAAGTATTTCTTCCATTACCTGTCTCTGAAATATAAACAACAGGATCCTGCTTTAGAACTTTACCAAGTTTTGAAGTAGCTGCTTTTTTCTCAGGTGGCTTCTTGGATTTGTTCACTGACTGCACCTCCTCTTCTGAATCTGTATTTTGAACACAACATAAGTGTAGATTTCCTCCACATGCATGCAGGCTTTAAGTAACAGATGACATAACATTAGTTAACATGGGTTCACATATATTCAACTGAGCGAGAAAGATTATCACATGGAAGATCAGAGCACAGCTTTGTCTACATCATCTAATAGCCTAGCCATCATTTTTTCCAGCATATACATGACTACCTGAAAATTCAAGTCAGAACTCTGTCTAGACAGTGGGTTTTGTTTACATAACAAGAAATATTTTGTTGCTTATTCCAAGAACTGCTATGCCTGTATAAAAACCTTTCTGAAAAGAAATGCAACTGTCATACTACCACATCAGATTACTAAAAAAACAATACCCCAAACAACAAGACACAAACCACACCATAACAAAGTTTTAGCAGAGATTCACTAGCCTGATTAAATTTATACGGTATCATATCATGCTGGTGTATTCCACAACACCTATTCCAAAGGATCACAACAGGCTGAACTAGATCACTGAGGCTGTAGTCTGATTTTTCAGGACACTGGTAGACTCCCACTCACCTCACCAACCACTCTCCATATCCCAGAAGTTGTCAAGGTGACAAACTTCCACCTGTGTATTATGTATCCCAACATCCTAAGAGTAAGTAGGATAAACTGAAGAAGCCAAGACAACTAACAAGTTTAAGAGAGGACTACCTTGCAGAGACTACCTTTTCACAATATAAATTAGTGTTTGTCATGGAATTATTAAAAAAAGTAGCTATGGTCAACTGACTCAAGGACCCTCCTCCCACCCCCAAAAAAGAAAGAGAAGAAAGCACACACACACACTTTACCGTCTTCAAGAACTTCAAGCACTTTTTCTCTTTTGCTCTCCTACTACTAATGGGCTAGAATTTGACAAATCTCCAGACGATATCAGCACTTTAAAAGGCAGCAGTTAACTACTTTTGTATTCCAACATTTAATACAGAAATACTTCTGCTGCTATTCCTCACTGCCAAACAGTAACTGTTTACGGAACAGTTCACCTGAAGATGCGAACACATTTTTCTACAACACAATAGCATTATTCTGACATGTCTGTGCAATCGTTTTCCTTCTACAAGGGAAACAACAGTCTCTTGTTAAGAGCACTACTTCTACAAATTCAAGCTGAAGTCCTCACTGGGAGACAGAAACTGTAGAAACTCCCACAATCTTTTTCTACAGTTTCACAACAACTATTCAAGACTCAGAATCCAAATCAAAGAGGGTTTAAATGACTTACTTAACAGCTCAGAAAGTTTAATTTAAAAGCCTGAGATTTCTAGCTTAACCCAATTTACCAGGCAAAGCTTTGGGTGGTGGGTTAGTTTTTGTGTTTGGGGTTTTTTGGGGTGGGAGGGTAGGTGCTTTTTGGGGTTTTTTGTTGTTGTTTGGTTTTGGGGTGGTTTTGTTTTGGTTTGTGGGGTTTTTTTGTTGCCTTTTTTTTTTTTTTAAGATGCAGTGCTACAGAAGGAGTTTCCCTTATTCTATTCAAGGAATATTTTTAGAATGTGGTAGCAGTGCTTTAAGTTCCATCGTGTGTTCCACACTGCAAATTTAAAGCTATGGGATGAACATTTACAAGATATTTTAATAGAGAAAAATACCTATGGAAACACAAGTTTGCCCTTTAAAACAATATCCTGTATTATGGTCACTCAATACACAGAAGTGTGAAATTAGAGTGTATAAGCCTGTGTAAAGTGTATAAATGGTATTCATCTATAACAGACCAGGAAACCTGAACTCCCTACAACTTAGGTACATTTCCATAGCAAACAAAACACACATTCTAGAGTTTTGCTAGAGTTTACTGTGTGAATATGGGAGTAGGTGTTTGGGGATTTTGGTTTGCTATTATTAGTAGTACTTTATTTTTTATTTGTTTGGGGTTTTTTGTTTGTTTTGAGTTTGGTTGGGGGTTTTTTATTATTTTAAACAGGTCAAAAGTTACTTTGCACTGTATGTTACATGCATGGCACACACTGCACTCAAATATAATTAGCTATTCAGCAATAATTACTATGAAAAATGTTTTTAATTGCATTTATTAAAAAAACCCAAACACAAACCAACCACAGCTTACCTTCAGATGTACCATTTATCTAATTGACCTTGGACACCAATACAAAAGACACAAAGAAGCACTCAGTAACAACTGTGAACACTACCTGAGTCGTAGATGATTCTTCTTTTCTTGCTCATCCGCTTCTGTCTGGAATCATCTTCACCAGGCGAATCGTTCACCTAGGAGTAACAATCCGTAAGGTCAACCAGTAAATAGATTCCTTCCAGCTTTCACTGTTACGCATTCAAAGGTACGAGTTTCAAACGAACTCTAACTGGAATTATTTACTTCTGAATATTACATTTACAAACCATCTTGTACTAACTCAAGGGTGGAAGGGGTTAAGATGCAGGGCAAAGGAAACAAGGAAGAAACTGCAGCAGTAAAGCTAAACATGCTCCAAGCCAACCACAGAGGATTATGTGCAGAATAACTATTCAAGTTTAAAGCCAAATACAGTAAACCAAACAAATTTTCAAGCACCTCCCACTTTTAATCAAAAAAAGAGATTGCATCATCCCACTACAAATAGAGGTGACACAGGCCAGTAAGTTACTCCTACAGAATTCAGCTTTCCATCTTGGTTCCATTCTGGATATGGCTTCGCTGTAACCACCAGAAATTGACACAACTTCAGAGTAAAATACAGCCAATTGAAAAAGGAAAAAAGCATACACAACAGTTGAAGCTGGACTGACTTCCTACTCGGTGTCCTGGTCACTTGCAGCTTCTCCTCTCGCTCATTAAGCGGCACAACTACCATAAACAGCAGCCAGTACTACACTGTCTCAAGGGATTTTCATTAAAATTGATGTTCTAGATATTAAGAAAAATCACAAGCTACACAGGTAGGGAGTTTTCTGGGCCTACCAAACTACCAACTATGCTTGTTTTATAGTCATGCACAGCTGTAAATGCTGCCAAAAATGTAATCCTAGATAAACATAACTCCACATTTTATAACCCACTTTAATTCTAATCTGAAACCTGTTAAACCCTTGATATACTTATTATTTGTACTTTGCAATTCTTCAATCATTGGTGTTTTTCAGTTCCACTGAATAGTCACTTACTTTCACACTGAGACAACAATACAGCCAACATATATATATATTTTTAAAGTAACATTTCATTTCTTCATTGTGATGCTTCACATTAAACAATCCATCCTATCAGGAATCTTTCTATACTCTTAAGTGATTTTAAAGCTCTCTTTAGCTACTCCTTTTTTATACCAGTTCAGATGATTTAACATGAAAAGTCTTCACTGAGACTAGAGCCTAATCTGATTTTAACCCGCTGTTTTACAGCATTTGGTCTTTGCAACAGGTTTACATAAATCGCCACATCCAAGAAAGGCAGTGTTATGTCTCCCACATAGGTGTTTAAAAAAACACCTAGTTAAAAACTGTCCAGAGGGCACCTACATCACAGGTTACCACCTTACTTGAAAGCATAACATCTTCAGAATATATCCACATCTACCATGCATAAACCACAATCCTAATTACATTAAAAATTAGAGAAGCAGAAGTACTTAAGAAAACCATGGGCCATAGCTGAAATAGCTTCAAATACACCAGACTGTGCCTACATTAACACTTAGCCATCTTTAACTTCTACCTACCTTTCCTCTGCCCTACAACCCAACTATTGTGAAAATTAGCAGCTTTCTTCATCACCTACAAAGTTTTGCTGCTAGAAGTTAATGTTAAGTGGTAGTTCTTCCCACATCTATAAAACTAACTGACATATAGCCTGGGTTTTACGCACAGAAGAAGAACTAGGACTTAAAAAACATGCCAGAGATACAAGCAAGCCTACATCAGGGAAGCCAAGCACTTCACAAATAAGAAAAGCAAAACTAACCTTAGGCTCCTTTCCCTTTTTCTTCCCACTTGAGGGTCCTTCCCCGTTTTTAATTTTTTCACTCTTTTTTACAGTCGCACATTCTTGTCGCTTTCCAGGAGGTACAACGCCAAAGAACTTCCGGATATCCTAGTAAAAGGCAAAACAGATATATGCATTTTTTAATGCAGTTCACACTACAACACAGCAATATGCTTAAGTTCTTTTCTCAGCAATTCCCCTGTGACATATTTGTTGATCTAGAGGTTTTGTCCGCAACTGAGAAAACAAAGCCCAGCTGGTTAAACGTACCAGCTCAGACATGGCACCACCTTTCTGTTGTCTTTCAATCATGAAAAAAAGTTTACACCTCCCTCAGATGCACATTTTCACCAACACACACTTTGAAAACAAAAACTTCCACTAACAATGAAATAAAATTACTTCAGACAGATATATAATTAGATTTTTTTTTTTTTTTTTGGCAATTAATCAGGACAAACCTAGCCCAAAGCAATTCTATGGTTAAAATAATCAACTCAGCTGCGAGGTAGTATCCAGTGTGGAAAGACAGAAAAGCACCAAGAGCTAGAAAGCAGTCAAGTAGTGGGATATACTGCATCCTCCGCCTTCGCTCATTTAGGGCAGTAACCCTCATCTCACTGAGAAAATTAGACAACAAAAACAGATTTTTTTTTTTTTTTTTAAAAAGAAAGAGCTTACTACAAAAAACTTGAAAATATCTGGTTTGTAACCTTATGACCTGATAACAACACAGCCACAGAAAGCTTTCTAAAACATAAAATCAGCAGCTGAAGTTTCACTATCATACACACAAAACCAAAGCTGACTTCTGCTGAAAAAAACAAGTACTTCGGTTCAGTTAGAAAGAAGTAGAGAAAGCACATGCCTGCTTGGTACCATCACCTCCAGGGGCAGCAGCCATTTCAGAGAAAGAAAGTACCTCCTATGGCCTCAATATATAGCACCTAAAGGGTGTGCCCTATTGCACCCAGCTGACACCTATTCCCATTCACAGAGTTCAGCTGGTGAGTTGGTTATT